AAAATGAGATCACTTCATCCAAGCAAGCCACAAAACTGGCTATTATTGAAGAGTCTTTCTCTATCATCTGTCAAGTAACGAATAAATTACCAAAGATCTCTAGATACGGAACACTGCAAACAGCACAGCCAGGTCTAGCCAGCTACTACTGCTCCACTGGTCTGATTTCAAGCCTGTAAATTCGTAAATTCTCTATTCCTTGTCTTAATTTATCCGATATTTAGTTCATTGTTAGATTATTATGCATATTATCTCTTACTGATGCTCTGGAAATATAGACTGTCGATACTGTAGATTAAATGTAATTTAAAACACTAATGTTATTACTAATAATATTTCTTTCATTATTACTGATGATGAATTTATCAAAAAGAATATGCTTTGTTCATTAATCAATCTTTTAGGCTCTGAATGGGCATTCTCAATGCACTTCAAAAGAACACATAAATTCAGTATATCGATAGCTTTTTTTTAACGCCAAAGTGTATCAGATTTTTTCAACGTGAGGGAAATAATTATTAGACAGGCTTACTTCATAATGACAGTAACAGTCTACAAGTAGTATCAAATCTTTGAAATACTAATCTATTGATTAAAAAAATGGAAGATATTATCATTAAATTGTCGACTTCCCCTTGAGTAGCAGATGTTTTCAATCTTCTTACAAATACGATGGAATTAATAAATTTATCTAGTTGGTTAAACGCTAGATGTTTTTGTTTTATCCAGTAATTTGATCATTTTATTTTGAAATGTCTTATTCAAGCATAAGTATAGTGATTTAAAGCGTGTTTTATTTATAATTCTCCTTTTAGTGAACCTGACCAAAGGAATAACAATAAAAACAAGTTTGAGCACAGATTGATATTAGTCAGAGAATCACTGAAAACTTGAGAGCACTTGATAGTGGTTTCGTCCTAGCTTGGGACTTGTCGGCGGTAGGCACCCACCAGGTTTCTAACCCGTTGAGTTCAGTCAAAGTGTATGAATGGTCTACAAGCGGAAAATTCCTTGGTTCGAACCCCGCTAGAAGGTGCACACGGCTAGTGAGTCCAAAGCTAAGGCAAAACAACAACTCAGTATCCCTGACTCTCAATGGTTCTTTAACTTGTACTGATCTGCTGTCAAACTTGTAATAGATCAAATTCCTATAAATTAACTCTTGACAATTTTATTACACTAGCACATTATTAAGTCTTTACAACCTGCGTAGCCAAAGTGAATTATTATCATTGTTATTATTATTACTAATTTACCGACAAAATAAAGTTAGCCCGTTTCACCCTCCTACCTATCTAATAATAATATAAACAGTATGCTTGGCTTAGTCTAATTTTTAGCTATGAAAAATAAGAAACTGGTATCGCTAACAATATTATTGTAGATATGATACAGATTCGAATTCATGAGCGACTGATTCCAGTTCACAACTTGAACAGTAGTGCTCTCCCTTAGTTTCACTCCCGGTAGGATCATAAGTGGTCGCTTCCAAAGATTACCAAACTAGTATGAAGGAGCTGTTCAGCGCAAAAATGCTTTTCAATAGTTCTTAAGGCCATTGTGGTTAATGACACAAGTTATCTTGAAATCGGTCAAGCCTTCACAAGCTAAACATCTTAAAACTAATAATAGTGGTGTAATATAGAGAAGGTTTTTCAAAGGATAGTAAGTAAGACAGGCAGAAGATAAAAAGATAGTTAAAGTTCAGAGGGAAATAATCAGATATGAAGATTAAATTTTAACTGATTAAAAATGACCATTAAAATTTTCAAATGAATGGATACTGAACAAAGAGTACTCTTTTCGATAACTTCATCATCAGGCTCTATAGTTTTATATACATTATAGTGAATGAATCAGTGAATTAGTGTTATGAACAACATTAATATTGCTGTTTAAATAACATCGAATCAATGCTAATATCAATGGATTACAGTTCAATAGCATTAACATAAAATAAGCTGAATGTCAGAAAAATTAGGAAGGATAATATTACAAATTCATGAGTTTATAGTTTCTACTGAAGGCCAGGGCAACAGTAGTGGCTGGACTTGCTTCTTTTGAACACAGAGCGCTGGTTGTTTGAGGCGAATCACAATAGCCTCTGCTGTTTGGAGCCTGTGGTGCATCGATGTTTTTGGCAATTTATTTGGCACTCTGTATAATATAGAGAAGGATTCTTCTACGCTGGTTTTGTGGCAGGTTTGCATCAGATGTTCCAATATCGAGCTGTTAATAGTTTTCACTAACCTTTACTTAGCCATGCTGGGAGGTGTTCTGGAGCCCGAAAAGTCAAGTTCCTAGAGCAACGGCCAATATAACTCACTACATTACAAGCACAGTTGCAGTTGAACTGGTAGATACAATTTGAAGTGGTCAGCTAGTCTGGTCTAGGTACTTCATCTTTCAGTCGAGGAATCGCCATCGGTAGTGTAGAGAATAATACGTATAGTTCTCCAGCATTAAAAGTTCTTTGAACTGATTTTCTTAATTTCTTCGCAATTATCTCGCTTGGTATATCGCCCATGAATTGTAGTCGTATATAAAGAGGCTTCTCATTTACAGATAGTGAGTAGTCTTTTTCAGCTTTCTTTGTCATGTGTTTCTTGATAAATTTTTCGGGATAGCCATTTTCGATCAAAGTATCATATACAATGCTTAGTTCATCTTCAGTTACTTCTTCTGAGCATATAGCTCTAACTCTGTGGCTGAGGGTATTCACTAAATTTGTTTCTGCCAATTATATGGCAGACAAGGAAGTTGAGTGGATTTTTTGGGATGTGTACGTTTGACTTGCTCTTAGTGATCTCTATAGCTTCAGCTATGCATGAGAGACATGGGAGTGTGTGTCTTTAGTTAGCCCATGGTATACTGCCGCAGAAGCCTCTGTTTCGATCCAGTGTTTACTGTCTACCAAATGAGGAAAAATAGCCAACCGAAACAGTATGTCTTCTCGTTGCTTGAAAAGAAAATTTTCTAAGCACAGCTCATACTACTGGTTGGCTATCATATAATACAAATGATGAATTAATAATAGTAGAGCCTGAAGAGAAAGTTGTTGAAAAAAAATAAAACTAATAACATTACGAACAATATTACATGCAACATGTATCTTGAGCTACCTATAAATAGAGACCAACGATTATTCTAGTCATTACACACATGAAAACTCATTCGTGTTCCGAGCGGAAGGTATGGCTTCAGGCTTGAGCTTCGAAGCTTCAGTAGTAGTAGAATGCTAGCCTCACCTCTAACCTCCCCTCTTTGCTGAGCCTATTACCGGCTAAGTGACACTGAAGTGTGCGTCGGCTGGGGATCAAACTTTGAACCACATGTGTGGTTGGAGAACATTTTACCGCTGCACCACGTGAAAAACTAATTAAGATAAAATGATGAAACCTTGTGATTCTGACAATGCCGGAAAATAATTTTATAAATATGGCACTTTAATCACAAAAGGTCAATCGTCATGCAACCAGGATCTTCTAAAATGTATTAAAATGGCTAAACAGACTTAATTGTACGAAGACATTTCACTGCTTTCCGTACTACCACAGAGCTCATTTTACTTACAAGAAGAATTAAAGCTCTGTTATAAAACTATCTAATTTAGCAGTTTGCACAGTTGACTAGTCGGAATCCACCAGTCACAATATTCTATTTCAATCCACTATCCAAGAGCTGCAAATTAAATTTTCTGTAGTCCAAATCACTTCATAAATGAGACTAGTTTCAACATTTTTGTGTACTCACTGTTTATCAGATATTCAGTGTTGGCTAACAGAGGAATTCAGCAGGAAAACTTGGCTCTATTAACGACATGTCAGTTGTTTTTTTCTAGTACCTGAACTTACTACTTATTATTTCATATGTCAGAGTAGTTGTAATGCACCACGAAAACGAGTAACAGTAGATACATTTTATTCGTCAGAATTATAATTAAGAAGAAAATCCACATTCACTATTATCTGAAGACAGATTTGTCATAATTTTGAAGTTTTTACACATTCTCTTAAAGGAACAGACAATTTAGTCGCTGACATAATGTGCAACTGTTAAGTAAAATGGGTAGATAGTAGCAGATCTACATTCGGATTTCACCGCGAAATGGCATTAATTAGAGAACCACTGATAATCAAGAAGCATTGGACAGCTGTTTTATTCTATTTAGAGACTGTTCAGTACGTGCTCATGATACTACGGGGGATCGAACTTACGACCTATTAGGTTATTAGGTGAGCACCCAGGAGAGTACCCAGGGGTCTGTAACTCCCAACTTCTGCTAATATTTCCATTGTTGGAGAGTTCCAGCTTCCCAGTTTTTTAACGGTTGACTAAGTGATATTGATTATTGATCATATCTGACTTGAAAACAATCAGATCCCTACAATCCATCATTTGAAGACCCATATTTATTTGCTAATTTCATTATTGTGAAAACTTGAAAAACAATTATGTAAGTCAGATACTCCTCAGCGGTGCTCAAAGTCATTCACCTGTAAGATTAATAAAGCAGCATACTAGCTCAAAACACATTTTAGAAATAAATCCCTTGGACAGATTTATTGTAAAGTCTAAGTTGTAGGATAACAGAAATAGCCACTCCTCTAGTAACCAATCAGTGTGAATATTACACTCCCACATGAGGTCATTTCTGGATTCAAACTGCCAAGTGATGAGGTGCTTGTATGCAGTCCTGGGTGACACAGATTTCGACCTCAAAGAGGTTGTAGATAGCTCCTAGTGATAGCGACAGCAAGTATTCAATTTAAGATCAGGAATTCCAGACTATTTATTGCCTCCAACCATCTAACGTTAATTCACTGAAACTCATTTAAATCTTCAACATCCAGACATATATATAACTTATTCTTTGTTTAGTCATACTATCTAATTTTGGACGATTATTTATGTCTGTTCAAGCTGGTTTCATCAAATAAGCAAACGTGTTTGTACACATTTTCTCAATGATTTTTTCTACCTAAGGAAAAGAAAAGCCATTGTAGTGATAAATGGTAATTATATTTGTTGAATGTTATCGTAGAATACATTAATAGAATATTGTATCTTCTCATACTTCAAATAAATTATCCGATGGAATTATCAGAGAATACAACTAATCTAAGCTTTATCTCAATTCACACATATATGCTGCAGTAACTAAACATCTAAAAAAAATAACACTAAACGGCGGTGAACACTACTAAGCTCCCGATGCACCCTTCAAAAACTTATTGTGATAAATAAAGCTTCAGATAATCAAAGACATTTTCATTACTGATAATGTTGTCTAATATGTGACTGAAACGTCTATTATTCAGAACTACATCCCACCCCCCTCAAACAACCGTTTAACCTAAACAGTTAAATTTCTGTTCTATTTACTTATGACCACTTTGTGCAGACTCCTTGTTTTGTTGATTTATGATAAACTGAAGAGCTAAATGTACAAAAGTTTGTTTTGATGTGAGAAAAAGAAATTCTATTGAAGAAAAAATCTAGTGACCTTTCAATCACATCCAGAGGTGAGTTTATTGTCTTGAAAAAATATGATATGGTGTCATTTTGTCATTATCTTAGAAAATCTATGCCTCTTTAATTGTATTTTTCTCAGACAAAAACAAGTAATTCAAACAAAAACACGACGTGAACAGAGACGACAAGGAGGATTATGATGACAGAGAAGAATCTTGTTCTTTTTGTCTTTTTCAGTGTCTAAGTAGTCTTCTCTAAAGTGAATCACTGACTGACTGACTGATTATGTGATTTTGTATATTCGTTATAGAAAAAAACGAATACACTCATTTTCAAGTAGATTTTATCACAAACTTATGCTAGTCAAAGAATCAACGAAAACCAAAATCGCATTGAATAGCTGAGCTGTTTCATCCGAACTGGAACTACTTGGAAGTAGTACTCACTTCTGCACCTACCAAGCATCGAATCAGTCACTTTTAATCATTAGGTGAACATGTTGCCATTCAATCAATGAATCAGTCAGTGCCCTCAAATTTTTATAAATTCCATGAAAAGATCCATCTAGAAATCGCTTAGATCCTTACTTGAAAACAGTATTCGTGCAACATTACTAAAGAGAACTAATTATAGGGATGAGAATTCTGGATAAAATATGCCTCGTGCTTTCTATGGTACTTGAACTAAAGGTAACTGCTGGAGTTACAATAAGTAAAACTTGGTCACATTTTCAAGGCTAAACCTTGAACTATGTATTTTTTATTGGACACTAGCCAGTAACTACTGTAATGTGTCTAATCCTATCTTTGCTGCAAACTGAATTATATAAGTCAAGCTTGCAATGTGGCTACCACTCTAGGTGGCTCGCCATTACGGTGCACTGTGAATTGTTGGTCTTAGATGGTTGGAGGCAATCGGCAGGAAGCCTTCCACCTAGGTTTCGTGATAGGTGACACCCATCAGCAAGGCGTATATGCAGCCTCGATGGAACTCATCTCCCTTCTGAGGTTCGAACCCGCGTCACCCAGTGCTGCAGTCAAAGACGTTAGTTACTACTGAGCTATTCAGGCTCAGGTTTCAGATACGCCTTGCTGATGAGTGCCAATCAGCACGAAACCTAGGTCCAAGGCTTCCTGTGGTCGATCGCCTTCAATTATCTAATACCAACAATTGAACTATGCAGACAGAGAAATTCAGTATAAGGAAAGAATATTGTAGTCCGACGTTAACGAGCAAAATAAACCTTCCTCTGTTTGCATCCTTTCGATTTAGCTTCTGGATTACTGGTTGGTATGAGTGATTTCTAATGATTCATATTAGTCAATAGTATATGACACTTTCCAATCCCACTAAGTGACCATCATCAAACACCAAATGTCACAATACGCTGAAATCTGGAGGTGTGTTATTTGACTCAAAGACTATATCTCGAACTCCATTGAAAGACAGTGTTCAGCACTACATATCCTATTCATCGATCAGTAATTAATTAGTGTGTGCACAGACAAGTATGCAAATCATTCTGAATAGATACACTAATTTCAATAAAGTTAATTATATTTGCATTCATCATTACAATAAGAATCAACAAGAGGAAAAAACACTAATAACGACAACTCGCCTAAATCACTGGGCTACTAGAATATCTATCCATGAAAAATGCTTCAACTCTCCCGCGTTTCTTATTGTTTTAATCATGCAGTTATGTCATGTGACCACTACACATGAACTTGCGCATATACTTAATTAGCTTCCAAAAAAACACTGTGCAATTCTTGGGGTAAATGAAGAATTGGTTCCCTCTTCATATGCAACAATACTACGTTACATGATATAATTCAGATTGTTACTTTACATTTCAATCGTGTATGAAGAGGAAAATTCTTTGAAAAACTAAATACGCTGAAAATGTTTGCGATGTGTTTGCATATTTTCTAAAATAAAGCTTAATTATTATTATTAATATTATTATTAGTAGTAGTAGCAGTATAAAGAAAATGGATAAACTCTTCTCATAATAATATAAATAATCCATTAACTAATCACTTTATTTGAAAGAATTTTTTATCAAATTAAATTAAATACTATTTAAAGCATTGCTGCCTTATTCAGGCGGCCTCAACTGATTCTTATCTAGTTAGTTAGTTATTCAATGATTAGCTGGAAAAATGATCAATACATTTTAAACGTAGAATTGTGATTATCAGTTGATTAACTTCTAGGCTATTTATAGACTTTTATTTGAAAGTTATTCTGTTACCATGATAGCAAGATTATTGTTTGATAAATAATGCCTTTTTTTCTCTTGTACAGATTACAAAATTACTAGTGGTGCAAAACAAAAATGTAATTTATTAGGCTTTCTGAACATGAATTACTGCTTCAGATTTAATAATTTTGAAGGATACAATAAGCGAGTGAAAATGGATAAGTCACTTAGTAAGTCAGGCTATTTTAGGATGCTTGAAAGTGACATTAAATTTTTATCCTAAAGGTAATTTCGAGGATAACTTGTAACCAATCAAATCCCTGCTAACTAACTATTAACTGAAAATGACCCTGAAAACTTCAACAAATATCACTAATATGGGGAAAAATCTCATTTAGATATATAGAAAACAGAAATAGAAGAATGAGCAAAACATATTCTTTTCGATAGCTTCCTCATTTGTTGTTATTTTTACAATAATATTTGAAGAGTAATCGTTATTGAAGGTGCTGATGCTCTTAAATAATATTAAGTTATTAAAATCAGCAGAATTACAGTTCAAAAGCAAATATGGGTAATACTAAATTGAATATTAGATAGGGAGACTGTCAGATTTTTGAAATCAACTAATGATGGCCAAGATAAAAGCGTCTGAACCAAATTCTCCTGAAAACATAAGTATGGCTTTTTTAGGTGAATTCTGACAACTTCAGATATGTGTAGAAGACAAAATGGTAGAGCGAAATTAAGATTATTTCACTGAAAGTAAACTGTATGTTCATTGTACATCTCAAAAGTAGTTCTTTCAGGTCTGTAGTGGGTATCCCTATATTCAATTTGTTGTCTTCAATATGTGTGCATATGAAACATATGGTTTCTGTCAGTGGAACGTGGCCTTCCACTCCGCCCTATCTTGGATATGTCTGGATCACCCTACCATCCAGTAGTTGGGTGGTTAGCTGAAATCCTTGAACCTGTCAGGCGACAGCTATCTAATCATTCCCTTCGGGACACCTTCCAATTTGTTGAGTGTATACAGGATATAAATGCGTCGAATAAACATATGTTGTCTTTGGATGTGGAATCCCTATTTACGAACGTTCCACTGACAGAGAACATATGTTTTATATGCACATATATTGAAGACAACAAATTGAATATAGGGATACCCACTACACACCAAAATTAAGATTAGTCAGAATATTGTAGATATCTTTGAATGTCTTAATTTATCACTCAGTACACGCGTTTGAACTGTAATTCTATTGTTCTTAACAACTAGATACTATTGTCAACAACCATCACTCCTTAAATATTACGTATACATAACTCTAGAAGCAAATGAGGAGGCTGTCGAAAAGAATATTCTTTGCTCATCCCATTCCACCTTCTCGATATCACTTTTACTGCAGTGAGCCAACTGACTCATGTTGAAGAAATATGCATTATGATGCATTAAACCAATGAATATGTGAAATATGCAATAATTCTTCATATTATTATGATAAAGTTAATAGATAACACCTTTCTCAGAGACGATGTAGCTTGTCAGGCTGACGTTCATATTCAAATGGAAAAAAATTGGTCGTCGTTTTCTCCTACCAGTCTTTTGGTTAGTAAACCTCCAATCCACAGACTGAAATAACTCAAATGCCAGTTACGTAAAAATTACATCTGAGTAACACAAGTAGTTTTTTGGCTGTCATATGAACTAGAATAATTGGTGAATAAAACTATAAATACTACTAAACTGGTTGTCCAAATACCGAATGCTTACAAGTGTGTTCTAAAAAAATGAAAAGAAAATATGGCATCATATAAACTGTTATTGTGAATAAAAGAATCAAAAAAAAATGTATAGTATAACGAATTCACAATGAGTAGGAGAATAATATACACGGAAATCAAAACTTAAGATTGGAAGTCTAAAATGAAATGAACAGAAATATGCATGAACTTTAACTAATCATAACTGCCATTATCATCATCATTACAAATGATGACTTAACTCTACAAGAGTTAGTTTGTAGGGGTTTGACTTATTTTAAGTTTGACCACGGATGGATATCAGTTAGAGAACCATTGAAAACCGGAGAGTACTGGATGGCTGTTTCGTCCTAGTTAGGAACTCACCAACACAACGCATCCACTAGTGCATTTCAAACCGAAGACTTTTCGGTCACAAGGTAAGTTCGTAGACCACTCAATCACGAGGACCATATTTAATTGACTATGAGTTCTAACTTCCACCACTTCGTGATTTCAGGGTGACCACTAATGAGTGTCATCCATTGCGAGTAATTATCCTTACACACGACATGGTGGATCTTACTAATCATGACTTCTCACAAGAATTCCAGACAACTCCGTCTTTTAGCCAGTCACCAAATGAAGAGTCCCAAACTAGAGCAAAACAGTTCTAAAGTACTCCCTGGCCTTCCGGTGGTTCTTTTACTGATATCAGTCCGTAGTCAAACTTGAATTAACTTTTGTACCTGCATACACAAGTTATTGCTTAATTGCTTAAATATTTTCTCAACGTTAACTTCACGATATTTGTTGCCTGGAGGGCCAACAATTGCACGGTCAAAGACATTTGCAACTGCTTTGGTTTTAAAATCCTTTACAAGGTTTTCCCTAATTATTGTGCCTTATCAACTAAATGTCTAATAAAGTCGGATACAGTATTAAACGGAGACTTTTGAGCCTTAGACTGACTAGTGAGTTGTTCGTTCGATAAGCTTATCTGACTTGACAGTTGCACCAATTTCCTTTTCAGTGTGTAATTTATCCTGTAATTAACTATTGTGTAATACTTTGATATTTTTCAAAATGAGTGCT